AGCTCACCCAAGGATCTCTCCTATTGCTGCCAAGCCGAAGGGTCAATCCGAGCCAAGAAGTTCCAACCCTTAACTCAGTTGAGTTTCTTCTTATTTATAGGGGATTAAGGGGGTGTAACCGCCCCTTAAATCACTCCTAAGTGGGGTGTAACCATCCCCAAATCATGGGAAACAGTTTTGGAACTGTTCAAAAGTTTAAGGGGTGCAATACCCCCTAAAATCTCTCCATAATGGGGTGTGACCGACCCCATTAAGTGGAGATACAGTTTTAAAACCGTATAGGTTCTGTTTGAACCAGTCAAACACAAAAAAAAACACAGGTCTGACCCTCACATTTTGATGTTGCAACGCAGGTCTGACTCCGGTGTTTTGATGTTGACACGCGGGGAGAACCTCCGCATTTTGGTGTTGCAACGCAGGTCAGACTCTAGCGTTTTGTTGCTGACACACAGGGAGGACCTCCGTGTTTTGGTGTTGACACATGGGGAGGACCTCTGCGTTTTGTTCTAGGAGTTTGGAACGCGGCCACGAGCTATGCGTTTTGTATCTGGGACGCATAGTTGAGCTCCGCGTCTGAATTTGAAGAGACCGTCGATTTGTAGTCTCTTTTGCTAGAGCGTTGCAAAGATCACCATATTGTAATCTTCATCTTGGCTCCTTGAAAATATGAGAGTCTCCCGATGTTGATTGTGAAGGCTGTTGATTAGAGCTTTCATCGGTTGCCGTGAAGGTCGTCAGATTGTAACCTTCATCGATCTATGTGAAAATCTTCAAATTGTAACCTTCTGGAAGTCGTTAGATTATAACCTCCATCATCGGTGTTTGATGGGGGATCAGCTATCTATTGTGATTTTTAGATAGCCTACAGAACCCCCTCCAAAGTTTTTGAAAGTTCGCGGTTGACTGGGACAAATTTTCGGAATACTTTGGATCTCAACTCTGATCTTGGAGCTGTTGATTCCTTATCGTAAAGGAGTCGTGGAATACTTTGGATCTCAACTCTGATCTTGGAGCTGTTGATTCCTTATCGTAAAGGAGTCGTTCTCTGCATTCGCTTTGAATGCATCTTGGTTGACGAGATTTGCCCTACAAGACCTGTGTGAAGGTATGCATCACAATCCTACTTCTGGAATGCGGAGGATGAACCCTGTATTTTGAACTTGAGACGCGGGTCTCACCCTTGCATGTTGAATTTGGAACACGGGTATGACCTCGGCGTTTGGTTTTTGCATCGCGGGTCTGACCTTAACGTTTTGACTTAAGACATGGAAGTGGCTTCCGTGCATTTTTAACTAAGTCTTTGAGACTTGTCTTTAGCTTATCTGTTTCAAGTCTCGGCTCACATCCATTAAGATACTAGACCTACGAACATGCATAGGATTTTTGGCAAATCTTCAGCCATCAACGGATTTGATAAGCCTTTACCGACTACCGTTTGAGTCGGGCTAGCATGTGAATTATTTGAATCCGTTTCACATGTAACGTTGTTCTAAGAGAATGAACCCTCTTAGACTTGATGCTATGATTTTGAATACATAGACTTTGTCATTTTCACGAAAAAAGACTAATCGGTAACGCGTGTTAGGCGTAGACTTATCTCTAATTAGGGATCGAGATAAAGTCCCCCATGCATGCAAGGCATGTGTTATTAATAACAACCTATCACGATGTTGAATACGTGGGCTTTGCCATTATTGTGGGAATAGGCTACATGGCAGCATGTGTTAGATGCAGACTTATCTCTAATTAGGTATCAAGATAAAGTCCCGCATGCATAAAGGCATAGATTTTAGTGCTACGATGTTGAATGTGTAGACTTTATCATTATTACGGGAATGAATCATCCGGCAACGCGTATTAGGCGTTGACTTATCCCTACTTAGGATTTGGGATAAAATTCCCCATACATGCAAGGTATGGATTCAGAGATTATTAATTTAATGATAATCACTGGCTATGATATTAAATACGTAGACTTTGTCATTATTTCTTCTTGTGTTACTTGAAACACTAAAAGAAAGTTGGAAGCACCAGAGATGTAATATTAACTTTGCATGAATTTCCACTTAAAATGAAATTCAGAAATTTTCTTTATTATCACTAGGATAATTCTAGAAAATATTTAATTCGCTAGGGATTTTATAATGAAAACTTGCTATTCTTATTAAAAAAAGATTAACAAGTTCATTGGGGGATTTGACTGTTAGAGGTGTGATGTTAACCTAACAGTATTTTATGGGCCTATCGCTCTATTGAAGAGAGTCGATAAGTTGGTTTGATTGTCAGAGGTGTGATGTTAACTTGACTAAAGTTTATGGACCTATCGCTCTATTAAGGAGAGTCGATAAGTTGATTTTGTCAGAGGTGTGATATTAATGTGATAAGAAGAATATTACGATTGGGGTAATTTTGAGGACCTATCGCTTTATTGACGAGAGTCGATAAGTGGATTGTCAGAGGTTTGGTGTTAACATGACGGAATGTGTTGCGATCGGAGCAACTTTGTGGACTTATCATCCTATTGAAGAGGATTGATAAGTGAGTTGTCAGAGGTATGATGTTAACGTGACAGGAATGTGTTGCGATCGGAGCAACTTTGTGGACTTATCATCCTATTAAAGAGGATTGATAAGTGGGTTGTCAGAGGTATGATGTTAACGTGACAGGAATGTGTTGCAATCGGAGCAACTTTATGGACTTATCATCCTATTGAAGAGGATTGATAAGTGGGTTGTCAGAGGTATGATGTTAACATGATAGGAATGTGTTGTGATCGGAGCAACTTTGTGGACTTATCATCCTATTAAAGAAAATTGATAAGTAGGTTGTCAGAGGTGTTTGATATTAACGTGATAAGAGAATGTGTACTTGTGACTTGCACAAGATTTTGGGAATTAGCGTCTCGCGGGGGAAACTTGCTAGGTGAGTTTATCATCAGAAGTGATGAATTTTGATGCTTGTGATTTGAATAAGATTTTGAAGACTTAGTATCTTGCTGGGGAAGATTACGATTTGCGCAATTTTGAGCACCTATCATCCTATTGGTAAGGATTGATAAGTTGATTATCAGAGGTGTATGTTGTTAACGTGACAAATTGGTAGTAATGCGAGTTGAATGCATACTCTGTGGGGATGATGATTGTCAGAAGTGTAATGTTAACTCAACGATGTGAAAGATTTGTTACTCTTAATCCGATGGATTCCAAGTAACCAACCCCCAGTCTTGATTAAGACTTAGCAGGGGAATAAAAAGAGGTAGACAAGGCACATCGCCTAGTGGGGCACTATCCATGAAATCAAAATAGAGGCATATCACCTGGTAGGCCATTATCTGATGAGTTTGACTATCAGAGGTAATTGTTAACGTGATAGTTTTGTGGACCTATCATCCTATTGAAGAGGTTTGGCGAATTGATAGACTATCAAAGGTAACTGTTAACGTGATAGTTTTGTGGACCTGCCATCCTATTGAAGAGGATTGGCAAACCGATGGACTATCAGAGGTAAATGTTAACGTGATAGTTTTGTGGTCCTGCCATCCTATTGAAGAGGATTGGCAAGCCGATGGACTATCAGAGGTAAATGTTAACGTGATAGTTTTGTGGTCCTGCCATCCTATTAAAGAGGATTTACAAGCCGATGGACCATCAGAGGTAAATATTAACGTGATAGTTTTGTGGTCCTGCCATCCTATTGAAGAGGATTGGCAAGTTGAGAGACTATCGGAGGTAACTGTTAACGTGATAGTTTTGTGATCCTGCCATCCTATTGAAGAGGATTGGCAGATTAAGCGACTATCAGATGTAACTGTTAACGTGATAGTTTTGTGGTTCTGCCATCCTATTGAAGAGGATTGGCAGATTGAGGGACTATCAGAGGTAACTGTTAACATGATAGTTTTGTGGTCCTGTCATCCTATTAAAGAGGATTAACAAGCCGATGGACTATCAGAGGTAGATATTAATGTGATAGTTTTATGGATCTGCCATCCTATTAAAGCGGATTGGCAGATTAAGGGACTATCAGAGGTAACTGTTAACGTGATAGTTTTGTGGTCCTGTCATCCTATTGAAGAGGATTGACAAGCCGATGGACTATCAGAGGTAGATATTAACGTGATAGTTTTATGGATCTGCCATCCTATTGAAGCAGATTGGCAGATTGATAGACTATCAGAGGTGATCATTAACGTGATAGTTTTGGTAGACTTCGTGATTGACAGAGGTATTCTATTAAACATGACAACTCAGAAAATTTATTATTCATAATCCGATGAACTACAAATAAACCAACCCCCAGTCTTGAACAAGTGTAGGGGAAAAAAGGAGCAGACATGACACATCACCTAATGGGCCACTATCTAACGAGTTTGACTATCAAAGGTAATTATTAACGTGATAGTTATTGTAGACCCTGGCATCCTACTAAAGAGGATTAGCTTTAGTGGCCGTAGTATTTTCCCTTTCTGACTGAGAAGATTGGGCTTGGTCCGATTGCTCAAGCTGATCCTGCCTATTTTGATCTTCAGCTTTGATCCTGACAATAATATTTTGAGCCTATTCACCTTAAGAGATTAGTTGTCTCCAAGAACGATATTCTGTAACTCCTATTCAGGCTAGGAGGTCGGTCTGCAAGTTGTGTCGACAGGTCTCTACTAAGGTAGATTGTGTCATACCTAACGAACACCGGAGAGCCATGCTTCGGAACCTCTTGACGAAGGATTTGATGGACTCCTTCTTCTTCTGCTTAGTGGCGAGAAGGGTATGGATGGAGACTTCTGTATTCCCTTTAAAGAATCTTAACACGAAGAGTCTCTCTAGATCCGCCCACTTTTGGATACATCCGGTAGGCAGTTTTCTGAACCATTCAAATGCAACTCCCTTGAGGGTGCTAATGAACAGTCGAGCCAGTATAGCATCGTTTGATATCACATTCCAAGTCTGTGACTTGAAATGATAGATATGTTAGTTCGGTGATCCCATGCCGTCAAAAGTTTGTACCATCGGGATAAGGGGCTGCATTCCATTCGGCAGAATAGGGCCTGACAACTCCCTCATCTTGGAGCTCGCTTCTGTCAGCAATGGTATTGAGGCGGGCATCCAATTCTTCCATTTTGGCAGACTAGAGATTCTGCTTGTTCTCCGTCTCTCTTCCTTCATCATAGGAAGATTCCAGATTGTGGGCTTCTTGGTCAGAAGTAGTGTCATCAACCTCTTTTTCCTTCCCTTTGCTTGTGTGAAGTCGGGATGAAGACGTTCTTCCTCTTCGGGAAGATTCTTGCCTAGGTGGCGAATCTGTCTTCTGAGATTTGGCCTTATCTGCGACGATTTGAGTCAACAGGGCCAAGAGTTCATTGATGGCCTCCTGCTGAGATTTGAGCATGGCCTCCTGCTTATCAAGTCTCTTTGCGAGATCTTCATGATTTCCCATTATATAAGCGGAGCTCTCATGTTCAACAAAGAGCTTGATGATTGGGACTCTGCAATGGCTGAGTGTTCATCATCGGAATTGGTTCATCTGGCTAACCTCCAATAGTTGACAGGGGGAATGGCTCCCGTTCGAGTCCGAGTGTGTCAGTAGACTCCTTCAAACTTGTTAGTGATTTCTCTAACGGTCGGTGAACGACTTATCTCAGAGTCATTGGAACTAGGACCTGAGACTTTCCCTCTGCCGATCACATTAATAGTGACCCCGGGATACTCGGTCTCTGGAGACTTCTTCCTGTGCGAACGTCATCGTTGGTTAGGCAAAACAACGTTCGTTGGTCGGTTGAATATTGACGGTTTGGCCGCATATGAACAACATTGGCATCCCGAGAGGACTGTAGGGATCAGTCGTTCACATTGGAATGAACGAAAAATTTGTTGCATCGGTCTTTCACTCGATATGAACTCTCTCAAATCTGTTGTAAAGATTCGAGGAGAATTACTCACTGATCGTGAGGTTTGAACTGGAACCCCCGGTCTATGATTGGACAGGACTGACTCTTGGTGGACATGAATCTGATTTAGATGCCTTGGATCCATGAACTTCTTATATCTGCCTCTTAATCTAGTCGCGCTACGCAGAGTATTCATTGAAACACGAAGGTCACGTTTGGCACTTGAAACGCGAGGTCCGCATTTTGGTTTGGCAACACGAGGGTCGCGTTCTTCATTCTCGACGCGAGGGTCGTGTTTTGACTGGGAAATGCGAAGTTGAAGTTCGCGTTCAACGGAGGTTTGAGGTTCGCGTTTTGGCTGTAAAATGCGCCATTAAGGGCCACGTTCAGTTTGGTTCTCACGAAGCTCATGTTTGGGCTCATAAACACGAGGCTTGCATTCTAAAGTAGAAACACGAAGCTCAGGGTTGCGTTTAGGCTCACGAACACGAAACTCGCGTTGGTTGGAGGATCGACTTTCTTGGAGTTATGCCGAAGCTAAGTCTTCTCCTTCAGAGAGGGGATTGTATGAACAGTGCAACCCACAGGGGAGACAACCCTTTGATGAGTCGGCCACAACTGGAGCTTTAGTCTCCTTAGAAACTTTGTGGATCTTACGCATAGCCTTGGGGCTAAGGGATCCAGAGGAGAGGGCCTCCTCGAACTTGGCTTGATCAAACTCGATGATCAGAGTTTCAACGGTCATTCTAGTAAGATGAACATCGGACTGCGCCACCACTTCTTCATCAGAAAAGCTTTTTCCCTAGCGGAGTCGCCATCTTTTGTTTGTGGGAAAATTTGTAGTAAAAGAAATGAAAGAAAATTTTGATTTGTATTCCTTCAATCTCAGTTACAATTGGATTTCGTGGTTACAAAAGAGAAGAGAATGATCTGTATTCTCCCCTTTGTTTAATTTTGGGTTCTTCACAGTGGCGATGAGATGCCTCCCTCAAATGCTCGCGTCGAGTTTGCTTCTCGTTGATGATCCGAACGTCTTGTTTCACTAGAACGATGTCTTCTCCTCACGGTTTGACGCTGTGGAGAAATTGCAAAGAAAGTTTTAGAACTCTGAACGAGTTTAGAAGAACTCTGTGAAAGAGTTGATTTGAACCAAAAATCGATTAATAAGCCAAGGCTAGAAGACTCTCTGTTGTCGAAGTTGAAGATGATCTTCATTGGAGGATGATGCCGATCTCCTCAAAAGCTCGCCCAAGGATCTCTCCTGTTGCTGCCAAGCCGAAGGGTCAATCCGAGCCAAGAAGTTCCAACCCTTAACTCAGTTGAGTTTCTTTTTATTTATAGGGGATTAAGGGGATATAATCGCCCCTTAAATCACTCCTAAGTGGGGTGTAACTGCCAAATCGTGGGAAACAGTTTTGGAACTATTCAAGAGTTTAAGGGGTGCAATCCCCCCTAAAATCTCTCCATAATGGGGTGTAACCGACCCCATTAAGTGGAGATACAGTTTTAAAACCATATAGGTTCTGTTTGAACCAGTTAAACATAAAAAAAAACACAGGTCTGACCTCCGTGTTTTGATGTTGCAACGCAGGTCCGACTCCGGCGTTTTGATGTTGACACGCGGGGAGGACCTTCGCGTTTTGGTGTTGCAACGCAGGTCCGACTCTAGCGTTTTGTTGCTGACACACGGGGAGGACCTCCATGTTTTGGTGTTGACACACGGGGAGGACCTCCGCGTTTTGTTCTGTGAGTTTGGAACGCGGCCACGAGCTATGCGTTTTGCATCTTGGACGCATAGGTGAGCTCCGCGTCTGAATTTGAAGAGATCGTCGATTTGTAGTCTCTTTTGCTAGAGCGTTGCAAATATCACCATCTTGTAATCTTCATCTTGGCTCCTTGAAAATATGAGAGTCGTTAAATTGTAACTCCCGATGTTGGTTGTGAAGGTTGTTGATTAGAGCTTTCATCGGTTGTCGTGAAGATCGTCAGATTGTAACCTTCATCGATCTACGTGAAAATCTTCAAATTGTAACCTTCTAGAAGTCGTCAGATTGTAATCTCCATCATCGACGTTTGATGGGGGATCAGCTATCTATTGTGATTTTTAAACAGACTATATCTACCAATAAAAAAGAGACCAGGAGATAGAATATGAAATTCTTCCTCTCCAGCATTGGTTCATCTCTACCAACAAAAAAGAGACCAAGAGATAGAATATAAAAATTTTCCTCTCTATCATCTGGTTCATCTCTACTAACAAAAAAGAGACCAAAAGATAGAATATAAAATTCTTCCTCTCCATTATTGGGTTTATCTCTACCAACAAAAAAGAGACAGGAGATAGAGTATAAAATTCTTCCTCTCCATCATCGGGTTCATCTCTACCAACAAAAAAGAGACCAGAAGATAGAATATAAAATTCTTCCTCTCCATCATTGGGTTCATCTCTACCAACAAAAAAGAGACCAAGAGATAGAATATATAATTCTTCCTCTCGAGTATCGAGTTCTTTTTTTCATCAAAAAGACGTAACCCATCAACATTTTTAAATCCATGTTTTATGCGTGGGGGACGTTATCTCAATCCCTTATTAGAGATAAGTCTATGCCTAATATACGTTGTCGCATAGTCCGTTCCCGCAAAAATGACCAAGGCTATGTATTCAACAACATAACACCAAGTCTAAGAAAGTTTATTCTCTTAGCACAACTTTACAAGCAGAATGGACTTAAACAATCTGCACGCTAGTCCGATTTAAACGGTAGTCGGTAAAGGCTTATCAAATTTATTAATGACTGAGAATTTACCAAAAATCCTATAATTATTATATTTATTTATTCCGAGTAGGATAAACAATCATAATAAAGTTTAAGCTCTCCTAAACTCAAGGAAGCGGGCAAAGGAAGACACAAATTCAGCCCGAAGGTCATGTTTCTTCAAGCGGGATAATTGAACCCGTCTCAGACACACGAGGTAGGGTATACTGTCTTGCACACACAAGACAACATCGATAAAGCCTCTTTAGTGGTTGTGACTGTATCAACTCTAATGGCTGGTCCTACAATCCAAACCCCCATGTGATTATGTAAAAAACCAACAATTATATAACGGTCCACACAAGGAGAAACTCCGTACGGGCAGATGAACTGACATCAACAGTTGGTCTTACAGTGTCTACACTTGGGCTTGCCATGTCCCAGCGCTAGTCAACTTGTTGCAATAAAAGTCTACGCCAGCCAACGCTTTGATAATTCTGCCAAAATATGGCTCAGGATGAAACGTCACTTCAAGGAATTAATTTTGGGAGTTTAATCGTGACTCAGATATAAACTCCTGACGAAGATGATTAGTTCAACGTCAACCCAACGAGTACACGAGGTTAAATTGTTTCCTAAAATCTTCGAGGAGTACATGAGTATAAACTAATTTTTCATACTCCAATGCCTCAAGAGCCTAAACTATATAGACTCCAGTTAACGTATGAGTATAAACTTTGTTTCTATCACAATGAAGGTCGACACCAGTAAAAGCGTCAACAACTTTTCCAAAGCAAGATGCAGATCAATTCCAAGTCAAAGGATAATCCCTGGGAGTTCATTTATAAATCAGATGGGAACTTCCGAATAGGATGAGCAATCCATCATCGATTCAATAGCATGAGCTAAATGCAACAATCGACACAACCGCTTCAGTTCAAGATTTCCATAACGGTCAAGCGATAAACGAAGCACCGGGAAAATTTTAACTATCTGACAAAAACTGAATAAACTAAAATATGGAGAAGTCAACGAATCAAAGCAGGAGTGTATCATATCTAAAGTATTCCATACTCATCTATAAAAGATGGAGGCTGAAACACTTTGGAGGGGGCATCTGTAGGCGTCAAAAATTGCCTATAGATCATCACACACAGTTCAAGATAGAGAAAAGATAGTAAACATCATCATCTGAGTTACAGAGGATCGTCCAAAACTAAAGATCAACTTGTTGGCCTTCTTGTTTTGATGATGTTTAACAAACAATTTATTACTAATGTTGTTTGTCTAGTATTTGTGTTTTCGTATTTATTGTAGACAAACAACATAGTTGGAGGTTGGATGGATTGCGCCATAACGATCATATCAAATGGAGGTTGGCGGAATGTCGGTGAAGTCTTGCTATTCAAAGTTCAAGATCCAAATTCAAGCTTCATCCGCAAAGTGTACCAAGTCAAGCTTATTGAAGATCAAGA